GGCATTTAGTCGGCGTAATAATTCTAAAAGCACCGTGTTTCAGAAATAGATAGCTCGTCACGAGCCTCCGCGTTTCCAACCTACCCCTTCCTTGTATCTTTATGTACATGGGGTTGCATGGTCCGTTTTTTTTCCCCTTCGCTTCCGGCGAAATTGGGAATACAATAGCACGCGAGCGGATGTACCAACGGCGGCAGTAAACTTTCAGCCGCTAGAACATTTAATCCTGGTGAAAATGCCAGGTGAACGCGTATTGTGTCGCGATATTAGGAGAATACCGTCGCGGCCGTCTGTACGCTCGAACGTATCGAGATGCTAACAAATTGTCAACCGGATTCCCTCGTCCTTCTTCTATAGAACATGTTGTACTAGCGAAATGATTAAATCAGACGAGGTTAGATAATAGCTGTTAAAATTAGTCTTGCAGACATGGTATAAATGTTTCTCTCCATTGGGAAGCTTTTATTTCTCCATCAAGTAAACAGGGATTTTTGGTTTCAAGGAAAGTTTCTCAACAAGTGCACGCTGCTGTTTCTTCCTAACGCACGATGCCATAAATCACCGCCGGATTCTCTGGAACTCGCGGCTCTTTCCGTGTTTTGCAATTCGTTTATCAGAGTTTTGAATCTCGTGATACAAGGAGTGCTCTAAGTGGCACTAACTATTCTTGAATTTATTCAGAGACTCATTTTCCTTCGATGAACTCGTTTGAACGTCTACCGTTAATATTAACGTTCACTGTGACACATTCCTATTTGGCATTTTTGCGAAAAGCTACGAATTTTCGATCTCCGCTACGAACGTATCAACAGTTTTGAAGATTAAATGACGGCAGCGTGGAGAACAGAAAACGCGAAAATGGTAGATCGGAGGGTAATCTTCGCTTTTGTGTTTAGCTTACCAAGAATTGAACCCAGTTTCGATTTGTTAAAAGCCCGCCCGAAGTTTCATCGCGCTGATTTTTGAAATTGCTGAGGAACTCTATCCTCCGCCCCCGTCTGACAGCAGAGCAATGAAACGAGGGGGAAGAAAAGCGAGCAACGTTGTTGAACTGTTCAGGAAAGTTTCTTTTAAAGAACGATAAATCGATATCTGTTAGGCGATGTTCGTATTTCACATGGTTTTTTGCGCATCCGCGTTATTTCTCGACTGGGAAACTTTGCCCCTCCGTCCCTTCGGAAAAGCGACTCCCTCCTTGGCAAAACTTTAGTTTTAAGCTGTCCGGGCTGAAAACTGTCATCGTCTATTTACCGTGTAAAATTCTACGCGGGGAATTGCCGAGGAGAAATTCCCCGTGCAAGTTGCAACGCGAAGCGGAGTTAAAAAATGAACTTGTCAAGTGTTCCAAGATTCTCGGCGTTGTTGAAAAATGTACCTTGTTTAATGGATAGAAAATCCATGGCACTCCGGCTAAACGATGTACCGTGGGGATCGTGGATCGCGAATCAAAAATTCATCGCGGCGCATTAGGTCGGACGCGGGTAGGTGTCAAGCCGGGATTTGCGCGGTGCTCCGGTTCTCGAGAGCAGAAAGCCTACGAACTTTCGGTTTGTCTAGCGCCGGTAAGTTCCTTCGAACTCGGCCGAGTGCTGTGAATGAAAACAGGCCCGGGGCTGTTATCGCTGCGATATCGTTTCGCCGTCGTTCCAGGCTCGCACGCCGCGTACAAACATCCAATGCTATGAACTGTTGTCCCATCGATTTATGCGACATTAAATCTGGATCAATTTTTCGCGTAGAGTCAGACGAAGTTTAAAAGTGTGAACGGTAATAATAAAAGAGCTTCGACCATTCTCTTTAAAATGAACGCTCTTAATTCGAAACGGTTCAAAGAAAAAGAAGAGGGAATATATAATTCGGTTCCGATCCCTCTTCCTGATGCATTCTGATGCCAGCAGCGGATCTATCGACGTAATTACATCAATGTAACCGCTTTTTGCGCGGAATCCACTTAAATCGAGAGATCCCTGGGAATGCATGGGCCATTGAACACTGGTCGAGCAGATCTACGAGTAAAAGAGCGGGCGGCGAAGGGAGGGAGACGGGGGATGAAGACGATGAGGAGGTCGGTTCGTTGGACGTGCATAGCTAGACGGAAAAGGACTCGCGCTGCAGGATAGCTGCTGCGAGGCAAGAAAATGGGTTCGGGGTTCACGGATGTACACAAGAGGGTATGCGATCAACTCTCGGGGCGCATTTACATTGTGGCCGGACGGTTCGTGTTTGAGGTGCACTGCAGCTATCGCCGCGTTCCCCATCGATCCGCCCTGTAATCCTCACCGAGAATCATCGATACTTCCCTCGGCTCTACTGTTACGTTTCATCGTTATATTAACAAATGTATCTTAATCGAATTGAGGATCGAAAGGTCGTAGGATTGAAACGGTGGCTGCAAAAGGCGAAACGAAGATTGCAACTTCTGATCGATTTGCAACTTTACACGAATTTCTATTGAACATCTACGAGAATGAAGTATTGATGTGTGCCATTTCGTGTAATTTCTAATTAATTAATTATCGTTTGATTATGAGACAAAAATCTTGTACGCAATCATGGTTCTTGACAACCGGTAGATAGGATGCAGCCTCCACGTCGCGTCGATAAAAAGTATTCAAGTGAATAAGAAGAATCGATTAGTGAACTTTGAACCGAGTCCCGAGAACGGATCTTTCGCTTTGTCAGATCGACCAGGTCTATTATAATCGAGTCAGCTAGGTTCTCATCAGGTTCCCTCTTCTGTAGAAAATTGCAGTGCAGACAAGGACCTAAAGCGAGTACCTCAAAGACACGAACTAAAACTTCCCCGCCCAGGCATGCACTTATATATATATTTCAACTTAATTTATCGCGAGACTAGCCTTAAATTGCAAAATCCTCGCCCTCCTCGTACTCACGGCGAACATTTGCTTTTCCGCTGTTCTTCGAGTTCCCGACAATTATTAGCAAAGCTCACACAAACTTCCGAGTGCATTCCGGAAAATACATTTCGAATTTCGAATGTTAACCGCCTCGCACCGCGTCAAACACTTGTCGGTCGGGCCGGAGACAAACGTTCCCATTGGCCAATATTCGCCATAATTGCCGGGACAAAGGGAGCCTAACTGCGAGCACGTTGGTCAGTGTCCAAAACTTCGCCGGTTATGCGTCTGACAAGCGGACGACAAACGCTCGGATTAAATCAAACAGCGCGCGAGGGAACGGGTGGTAAAGGCAACAAGCGGAGGGACCTTTCCTGAAGGAAAATTCAATCTCCCGATTGAAAAGGAAATGGAAAGAGGCTAGCGGGCACTGCACGGTCGTTCGTCTGAATGGAAAACGAATCACTCGGAAAAGTTTTAGTCGCTCGCGCGCGTCGATCAGTCCGCCGACGCGAGAAAGTTTCCGTTTATTCGGTATAATCCATTCGAGAACGAACGACGACGAAAGAGGACGAAACGGAGAGGCGAATAACCACGATCGAGTGCTCGATCGGGGTGGGGAAGAAGGCGAAGGGGAGAAAAAGGAACCGGGAAACGGTAAAGGTCGGACACCGTTTAGGATACGCGCGCGCGTTTCGAGAAGTCGAAACAGCACGCGAAGTTCCGGCCGGGAGCACTAAACCGGCAAGTTGCTTGGCCGCCACAATGCGACGATTATAAAGGCGAAGAAAAAGAAGTTGGAAAAGTTTCGCGGAGTCTAAGAAAGATTCTGCAAGGCAGGAAAATCGTCTGGTAGCGCTGGGAGACATGCCGAGATAAAAGTCGTAAAATTTAACGCGCATCGTATTCAATCAGCATTCGTTTGTGGCCGAACTTTCGCTGCTCTTCGCGCGGAACTTCCGCGATTTTCCTCCTGTCTGCGAGCAACTTAACTGTCAGTCAATCGAACGTAACTTCGAATTGGATAAACGTAATTGTGTTATAAAGTTCATTAAAAATATTAGGTCTGTTGAAATGGCAAGCTATTTCTGTTTTATAAATGTTGTTGGTTATTCACGAAGTTTAATCGTTAAAAAACATATTGTAGAGGAGAGCGAGGGCATTGTTTGCGTTATTATTTTTCGACAGTGATAGCCGTAGCGAAATGAATGAAAAAAAAGGCAGTCGGTTTTTATCGTAGTTTCTGGTAGGGCATGGCGTTTTCATAAACCCTCGCACATATTCACCGGGAGACCCTTTTTCCCCGCACGTAATACCACAATTCGCGTGGAGCTTACAGAGAACACAGACAGAAACGGTCACGATAATGTGTATACACGTCTACTCGAATGGTCCCTTCAGACTCTAATTAACTCGGATATTGACCAGAACGGAGTGTATCAGCGCGTGTGCACAGGACGTAACGCGGGATTTCTGCCCCCACACGCCCACCATCCAAACGAAGGTAAAACCAGGCAACAAAAAAAAAAAATGGCTCCAATTTATCAGGGAGCTTCCACCGCTTTTATCGGCGCGCCGTGTTTACGAGTCTCTTCACCGCGGGACAGCGTAAACGTCAAAAAGGTTGCGATCGCGTGCACTGAGACGTGACACAGCCGCGATAAAAATACCTTTCCCGAACGTGTGTATAGGAATGCGTACCGAATCGCGTTACCCGTTCGAGAAATATCAAACCTCCTTTGTTCCTGTCGAGTCACGCTTGTTCCCGCGATATCGAAACACGGGTTAATCGCTCATCAAGTAATCTCAGTAGAAATCATTCATTATCGGATCGAACTGGATACATTAAAAGGTTTATAAAAATATTCGTATTAAGAATATTTCGTCGATAAGTACCGAAAAGATAGCAACATATTTTTATGATCATATCAAATGGTTACGAAACTTCGAGAAAGACTGAATGTCTGATAAGGAGGTATCTTTAACCGTGATTGAACCGACAGATTTCGTTAACGTATCTGAGGAAGAGGGATCAGTTTGAAAACACCTCGAGTGAACTAGCAGTTTTGGAGTACTAGACACGTCCGACGTTTCAGCATCGGCTAACGCGTGGCAGTAGATACTTATTGCAATTTCACTCACCGCTCTTCGGCGTGGGGAAGATGTTGTAGGCGGAATCTCGCACCCAGGACGTGACCGCCACGTACTCCTTAACGAACGTCGGTATCTCACACCTCAGCACGCCGGTGTTGCCCGGAAATACGTACGCATCTCGCACTTGAATTTCATACTTCTGACGAACCACTGAAACAAAAAATTACCTGTAAATCGACAAATCGAGAAAGCGGGAATTGCGTAAACGAGAGAACGACTGCAATACATTTCCATGAGTCGGTTTTTAATTGTAACGCTGCAACCCTTTCACGTAGACATCGATCACGAAAAGAGAATCGCGATAGCTGAACAGCTCACCGACCCTCGCCCGCAACGAGCCCCGTCCCTCGTCGTTAACTTCAATAACAATAAAATGTACTACGCGTTTTCTATTACAGACCCTTTATTCTGTTCGCGAACAACATAGCTATTCAGTCCGTCTGCAAGCCGTGCTTTCGGTAATTAGTGCCTCCCTCTCGCATTTTCAACACCGCTCCACTGCGTACAATCCTGCCACCCCCTCCTGTCTCTCTTTCCGCGATGTAATTCAGCCGCATGATTCTTTCCAGAAATTCCAGCCGATTCACGAGCCGCTAAACGCGATAAGTGATTCTTGGCAGGACTTGGCGGCCGCGATTGTTGTTCGCCGCAAATGCGAGACGAAATCTGTCCGCCCACTCGAGTTGCTGGTTTCTCGCTTTCAGCCACGCAAACGTGGAAATAAAACGACGACGAGAACGCACACCGGCAAAAGCTTTCTCCTCCGAGTGGGAAGGGACGTATCTTGATCTTGGCAGTGAGTGCTGCTTGTTAGCCATAAGCGGCCGCGAGTTCCAGGTCGTGGATCTACGAACCACCGGGGGGGATGAAGCGGACCGGAGCGGCGATAAATGTAGCTGGCTCGGCTCTCTTGAGCTGCGATCATTCTCTCGGCACTCCCGCGAGCCAGCGCGGTTTAGAACGTAATTCTGCGGAACGGCCGATTACGTTTACGACCGGCGTGAGATAGCAGGTTACGCGCGGAGACGCGACGATAGCGAAGAGACGGCCAAAGAACGGTTTTTACGCCGCGAGAAAATACGTCGCGAATCGTGAGAGGCGCTAAACGGCCGTCCATGCTGACGCTTGTGGAACGCGGCGCTAAGTTTCGAGGCAGCGGGGCGCGGGCATCGCGGCTGCATCGCGCTCAATGACGTAATTGCCAGCCACGATGCGCCGGAAATGTTCTCCGGCAATTTTTTGCCAGATTACTCTTCCTAGGTCCGAGGAGCACAGTGCTTTGTCCCGACGATTTTGTACGCTTCCCTTCGCGAAGAAGCTCTCTACTCGTCACGAAACATGTTATGCGCATCGCTTCCATTGTGTACCCGCGTCAGACTGGCTATTTTAAAAGTTATTGGCAAAATGAACGCAATTTTCGTCGAATGTAAAAGGAAAACTTACCAAGTCTGTGCTATTTGCCGAATCATTTGGCAAGAATCGAGAAAAAATGCGTGAGAACGTGGACTACGGGAAAGTCTCGGTTCCGATCGATGGGCGGAAGTAAATCGGTCGGAAGAGGGGAAATAAAGGTACTCACCGGCCTTTACGGTGATTTCACGGCCCAACACCCTGCCGACGCTGTTCGAGGCTTGACATCTGTAGACGGCCGAGTGAACGTCGTGCCTGTAGGTCTCCGCGCCGAACGGCAAGAAATACATCGAACCGTTCACCAGCATCTCACGGATGTGCGGTATAGGTAGAACCGGTGAGCCGTCGCCCATGAGCCAATCAATCCTTGGTAACGGACTGCCCTGGGCCGAACAATGGATCATTGCACCGGTCTCGTTCGAGAACTCGACCGACGAGCGTGGCTCCGAGATCAACACTGGACCCTGACTATCCAGCACCACTCCCCGTCCTGTAACATGGATCACGCGGCATGTTCCGCTTTAGAAGGATCGGACTTCGCTTGGTACACGAAAAAATTCGGGAACATTTAGGGAAAACGTTAATGGGACGTGGCACTGCGCCATTAATTTCAATGAAATTGTTCTAACCAGAATTGCAGGTACGTTACTAGCCCCATGGGGCAATGCAGCAGATACGCGTGCAGTGATTATTCATTTTATGCAAAGTTTGCATATATTGGGAATTATAAAAGATACGCTATAATATCTTGTTGATGGATAATAAAAGCCGTGGTATATCTTTAATTGCTAATCATGTTATATTGATTGAGATGAAGAATTGATAACTTGTTACTTCACAATGTGTACGCTACGCTATCTATGTGCAATACAGGCGATCCATCTATCATTGTGTTGGAACAGAGAAACGTTTTATGTGTCCCGTGGGAGCCGGCTAATTCAAGTGCTCTTAAAAGCAAGTAAAATTTCTCAATTTACTCGCTGGAAGTACCCGGTTTAAAATAATCGACTGCCTCGTTTAATTGTCCAAGGCTAACTTTGAAATAGCGGATCAATGGAGACAGGAAACTAACAAAATAAAATTTTACACCGTGTCTCGAGCAGTTTCGCGACGAGATCGAAAATAGCAATTCATGAAATAAAGATAAATGAGACGGTAGTGATGTATTGTCGAACGTGTTCAAGGCTGATCTGGAAGGCGATGCATCTAAATAAAATATAGGCGATGTTTATACGTCCCGTGAAGGGGACTGCGTTATTCTCTTCAGAACGAATAATTCATGCGAAAGTGAATCGAATCAATAAGGATATTCGAACGAGGAAAGGAACAATTGGTTTCTCAATATTCCGCGGGTAAGCTCGAACGGCCGTTTTGCAGCTTCTTCGATATTCCTCGCGCATCCGCGGTAAGCAGTTTATATTGCAAAATACACGAAGCCCTCCGATCCGCGATACACCCGCGCGCGCGATCGTGTAAGTATATAGTACATACATATACGATACATAGAGCTATCTACCCGGTAAACACAGGGGAACTTTCATTTTGTTATAAAGCATCGGCTGGAGAAGCCGGGTTGCTGCACAGCCGATGTAGCAGACTCGGGATCGATCATATTCGATCTTCGTCATCGTGTCAGTTATTATAGAGCGGCGCGCGCTTAAAATCATTTGCATTTTTCAACGAGCGAAGTTTATCTCGCTCGGTAGCGCGAAACCGTGTTACGTGGGTAATATGAAAAATGTCCGGGCAATTTGAAAGATTTACGAACGCATAATTCGCTTTGCAACCGCGAAAGCCTTTCAATCTCGTGTAACAAAAGCTGATCAATACCTGTGAAACACGCATCGCCTCTCGATAGCTAGTTGACTATATGTGTCTTTGTTGAAAATGTTCAAAAATAAATTGTGACGAAACCATAAAATCGTTCTATACACGATAACCGAACCATGTGCTAAGTCACAAACACGCATACGCAGCCTGACGAAGCCTAAACACGTTCCGATTATAACATTTGCTGTTCACTGATTCTACTTCTGTGGGTTCGCAACATTTCCTTCCCGAACGTTCCTCTCTCGTGTCAGCCATGCCGTATCCCTCTTTTACAACCCTTCTTCGTCGACGAGCGAAGCTTCTCTCCCTCTCGCCCTATTTCGAACGGAGCAAATTTGATAGAGCATCTCTGGCGCAGCTGATGCCAAACGATCGCAGGCCATCGGAGAGAGCTTTGTTCCCGGAATTCCGGAACACCTACCATGTTTTTCGTCGCGAAATCGAACGGGAACAAGACGCGGAGGAAATTCAGTGCGAGGATACAGGGAGAATGGGTGCATTATGCATGAACGACTATTCGATAAGCAGAATTTTGATGCAGGAAATCCGTGGTACCGCTAAGAGTCACGGACCGCCGTCGCTCGCATCGGGGCCATCGAGCGTACCTACACCGGAAAGACGTTTATGTCCAGCGCTTCCTGTGCCATACGAGCGCGCGGTGCACCTGCGCCACCCCGGTTTAAACTATCAACGCCGTCACCATCTACCCTTCTCGCATTTAAACGCGCGTCAGTGCTAGCATACACGTGCAGCCCTACGCGTGTATGCAAGGACGTTCCATTTAAACTGGTATGCGCAAACAGAAAAGCAAGGATTAGCCTGAAATCTCAAAGAGATAACTGTGTAATTTGTACGCATCGTAGAACGTTCCGTTTGAAGCGAAACGTCCTTCGCCATTTGAAATGATTTTTTTAAAGCAGTATGCTTGAAAGGTAACTGTAGGACACCCTGTAGCATTGAAAGTGCATACGTAGCTGATATCGTGGATGCATCTGCCACTCTCAGGGGTGTTCTTGTCTTCTTTGGCAGTGTTCACGAGTGAACCCGATCGCTCGCTCGTCGAACGACGATGTCGTCGACGGCGATGACGGAAAATATGGTTAAATTAGTGTACGCGTGTGTACGTTTAATGCAGTTTGTCGCTACTGAGGGAGGCGAGGAGCTCGTCGTAAAATGAGTAGATATTAAAAGGAACTAACGCTCGCGTAAAGGGGACGTTCTGCTCGACGTTCTTCTTGTTTACGAGGAAATTTAATAGAGATTCGCAGTCTAATTCTATAGACTCCGTAGGATGGATACCGTCTGATAGCTTCCTCTGATTTCGAGCTTGCTCGTTTTCCATCCTTCCGGAACTCACGTTCTACGCGATATGAAATACTATCGTTTCAGTCGCGCGGCGTTGGCCGCTTCAATTTAGTGCCTGGGTAAATTGTTGTTCGTTGTTTTTCCCTTTGAACGCGGCGCGTTGCGGATCTCGAGTTCGCTCGATGTTTGTTCTGCTAATTAAACGAGATGATTCCGTGTTCCCTAGAGCGCAAGATTTTAGCAAGATCATCGGGACCGAGGGATACTGCAGGCAAGAAGCCGAACAGTGGATCAAACGGTAACACTGTAAATCGAAACTGTTTGCCCAGTCTGCCGTATTCGCTTATTGTCGCAGAACGTTCGAATATCTCGACTGCACAAAACGAACAAGAGCGACGCGGATACACGATCCCAATTAGCGAGTCCACCGAGTGACGATTAATTCAGCAACCCAGCGTTTTCATAAGCAAGCTCGCCAAACGCGTTTCACGTATTCAATCCAATTTTTCATTCGTTTTATTACAAGCCAACGCAAATAAAGTACCAGCAGGGTCAATAGATCAATCACGAATAAAATAAACAAACTGAATATACATGAAAAATTAACATCTGGCACAGCTTCCTGTTTTCCTTCCGATAAACGATAATTGTTAAATCTTCTTTTTTCGTCTTTTTTAATTCCCTTCATAGAAAAAGATAAGCAGAGATTATTATAGGTTTAATCTGTTTTCATCCCAATGAACCGTATAATCGCTTGTTAAATTTATCGCGCGCTTTTTACATTTATTTGCCGCGGAAATTATCGCCCGTGCGCCGCGCTTCTCGCTTGAAACATAGCATGAAGCTGCAGCGTTCGCGCGCGTTCAATCTTGTCATCGTGTACCTATCTACCCAGCGGTACGTGAGTACACATGTTACACGCCGGGTTACATGCGTAAAAAAAACGCGGCGGTCCCGCATTCGATGAGATCCCTCATTAAGCGTGCGGCGACGGTATCGTGGCCGCGCAAAAAACAAAAATCGAACGTTAAACGTGGTGTCCAGATAATCGGTCTCCCGCGGGCGGTCACGGTTAAAAACAACCGTGGTGATAAATTGAGGGGGAGTAATTCCGTGTCATTGCGCTTTTATCGCTGTACGCGGACGCGTATAATACCGGGGGAGACGGCTCGGTTCTCATAAACGCAGCTTTGTTTCATTTTTTATACCGTTCCGCATGTCGACGCGCGACGAAGAAGAATATGCATCGTTCGGTTCACTACGCCCGCGGTCACACCGGCCAGACGAAACAAATTTATGGAAAGCGTTGAATCGCGAAGAAAATACTCGCGACATCATTTTCCTCCAACGCGGTCAGTAGTGAACACGTTTCAGGCCAGGTGTGCATATGCACGCGTTTGACCGAATGTCCTTTAAATTACGCCATGCATACCCATATTTAGCCCATTGACGCTCGATAGGGGCTTCAATCCCTTTTCAACCTCCTCGTACAGCCCATTCAAATCCCGGTATATTTATTGTACGTTTACAGTGTTCCACTCGATGGTCATCTATGAAATTTAACGAACGGATCGATACAGTATCCGTGAATGCGAAAGTCGAACTGAAATCCATCGTTCAATTTCGTTTACTAGTTCCTGTCCAAGCTACGAACGACACGAATCGAACATGAATATTTGCCACGCGCTCGTGAATAGTTGATAAGACAAAAATTAAACGTTTCAAGATGTACCTATCGCCCCGGTGCGATGCATGAAATTCATTCGACGTTCGTGGCGCATTCGACACCGGGCGCGCGAGTAAATACACAATACGCGGTTGCACGTGAACACGATTGAACGCGGCTTAATTAATCACGGTGAATTTCGGCGCTAAAACTTGTTTGCAGTTGCAACCCTGTCCTCCGGGGCAACGAGGTTAATTTCGCTTATGCGAGAGAATAGCGGTGCACGCGATTTAGAGAGAAATTCCCCGGCCGCGGATCGAATCGTTTACGAAGTTACTTATTTTTTTTGCTGCCTTGGAATTTCCACACCCGGGAGTAGTCTTGGCTAATGAGAACTTTTTTTCCCTACCACCGGTGTTACCTGGATCAGTCGATAATTGCGTAACAAGAAGGTACACAGTGAAATTTGCATCCGTTGTTGCATAATTACCGAATAACCAGATAATTACACGACCTGATAATGTGCTCGCCGCAATTACGTACCGACTGGCTCCCTTTTTCCGCTACACGATACTGCCGTGCCGTGTGTTTCATTACCGTAGAGCCAGTCGAAGATTTTAGGTGCATGCATATTCATCAGGTACTTGTCGTAACACACGTACGGTAAGTCAATACTCTTTTCATGGTTA